AAATAAGAATGTGAAATGCATGGAACCCTAAATGGGCTCCATCGATGGATGTAATTTCATTATAAATGTCATTGTAATGTGGAGACATGAAACTTCCCTGATTCAATTTGATAGAATTTATACTGGCTTCCAGTAAGGAAGGATCTTCTGTCATCCACTCCAACTTTTCAAGTAAATCCTCCTTAAAGCTTATAATATACCAAAGATCAAGAATGACTTTGGGTAATAAGTAAATAATCTTCCCTCAAAAATATATGCTTGTGGTCCTGACCATGTATTTGTAACACACAACTTGCCAAGACTAGATGATAAAGAGAAAATCTGAACAGACCTACCCTAGACTAGTAAGGAGATGCTAAATTAATGTTCTAAAATCTCATAATAAGGAAAAGCCCAGGGCCAAATGGTTTTACAGGTGAACTCTAACAAACATTTAAGAAGAATTAACATCAATCCTTTTCAAGCTCATCCAAAATAGAGAGGGAACACTTCCTAACTCATTCTATGAGGCCAAGATTGCCCTTACAACAAAGCCAGAGATACTACAAAACTACAGACCAATATCCTTTGTAAATATTAACGCAAAATTCTCAAAAAAATACTAGCACATTAAATGATTATACATGATGAGCAAGTGGGATTTATTCATGGAATTCAAGGATGGTTCAACATGCAAAAATCAATCAATGTAAAAAATGAAGGAAAAAATGCACATAATCATCTCAATTGATGCAGAAAAAGCATGTGGCACAATTCAACACCATTTCATGTTTTAAAAAAAATGTACAAACTAGGAATAGAGGGAAACTACTGTAACATAATAAAGACCACATATGAAAAAGCACAGCTAACATCATAATGTTGAAAGGGTGAAAGCTTTTTCTGTAAGATCAGGAACAAGGCAAGGATGTCTGCTCTCACCATTTCTATTCAATGTAGTACTGGAAGTCCTAGCCAGAACAATTAGACAAGAAAAAGAAATAAAAGGCATCTAAATTGGAAAGGAGGCAATAAAATGATCTCTGTTTACAGACAACATGATCCTATATGAAGAAATGACCATGAGAACTAATAATTTCAGCAAAGTTACAAGATACAAACTCAACATGCAAGTTGTGTGGTTTCTATATACTGACAATAAGCAATCTTAAGAATACAGTTCCACTTACATTTATTTAGGACTAAATGTGGCAAAGTAGGTTAAAGACTTGTATGCTGAAACTACAAAATATTGCTGAAAGAATTTATAGAAGGCACAAACAAATGGAAAGACAGCCCCTGTCCATGGACAGGAGGACCTAATATTTTTAAAATGTCAATACTATCCAAAGCAATATACAGATTCAATGCAATCCCTATCAAAATCCCAATGGCATTTTTTGTATAAATAGAAAAATCCATCCCAAAATTCATCTGGAATTGCAAGGGCCCCTAAATAGCCAAAACAATCTTGAAAAAAAAGAACAAGGTTCAATGTCTACACTTCCTGGTTTCTATACTTACTTCAAAGCTACAGTAATCAGCCCTGGCCAGTGTGGTTGAGTTGATTGGAGCATCATCCCGTAAACCAGAAGGCTACAGATTCAATTCCCCATCAAGGCACATACCTAGGTTGCAGAGTCCCTGATCAGGGCACGTACGAGAGGCAAATGATCAATGTGTCTCTCTCACATCGATGTTTTCTCCCTCTCTCTCTCCACATCCCTTCCTCTCTATCTAAAATTAGTGGGCATGTCCTCAGGTGAAGATAATAAATAAATATATGAAAAGCTACAGTAATCAAAGCAGCGTAGTACTGGCATAAAGACAGACATATACACCATATACATATTCCATATACATGGAATAAAGAGCCCAGAAACAAACCCTTGCATATATAGTCAATGATATTCAACAAAGGTGCCAAGCCCATTCAGTGTATAAGGACAATCTTTTCTATAAATGGCGCTGGGAAAACTGGATATCCATGTGAAAAAGAATGAAGGTGGATCCTTTCCTTTCACCACACACAAAAATTAATTCAAAATGGAACTAACGCCTAAACATAAGATATGAAAGTACAAAACTCTCAGAAGAAAACATAAGGGAAAAGGCTGATGACACTGGATTTGACAATAATTTCTCAGACATGACACCAAAGGCACAGAGGACAACAGCAACAACAAAAAGGATGAATTAGACTTCAAAATTTTAAATGTGCATCAAAAGACACTAGCATTAGAGTAGAAAGGAAACCCACAGAACAGGAGAAAATATTTGCAGATTATATATCTGATAGGGATTAAGATCCAGACTCCTAAAACTCAATAGGAAAAAAGAGGAAACCCAATTCAAATATGGGCAAAGGGTTTTGAACAGACATTTCTCCAAGTAAGATTATGAATGGCCAATAAGCACACAAAAAGATGCTCAACATCACCAATCATTAAGGAAAGCAAAAGAGTCCCTGGCCAAGTAGCTCAGCTGGTTAGAGCATCATCCCAAAAGGCCAAGGTTGCAAGTTTGATCCCCAGTCAGAGCACCTACAAGTCAACCAATGAATGTATAAATAACTGTAATAACAAATTGATGTTTCTCTCTTGTCTCAAATCCATCAGTAAGGAAGTGCAAAAAAAAACCCCACAATGAGACACCATTTCAGGCCTATTAAGACAGCTATTATAAAAAAAAGAAGAAGAGTTGAGGATGTGGAGAAATTGGAACCTTTGCACAGTGCTGTGGGAATTGTAAAATAGTACAACCACTGTGAAAAACAATATTGCAGTTCCTCAAAAATTAATAATAGAATTATTGTATGCTCCCACAATTTGACTTCTGGGAATATACTCAAAAGAACTGAAAGCTGGATCTCAAAAGGGATAGTTGTAATCTCATATTCATAGCAGTATCATTATTCACAATAGCCAAAAGGTGAACGCAACTCAAGTATACATCAATGAATAAAGAGATAAGCAAAATGCGGTATAAGCATAAAATGGAGTACTGTACAATCTTCCAGAGGAAGGGATATCTGACACACACTTCAACATGGATGAACCTTGAAGACATAATGCTAATAGAAATAAGTCAGATGCAAAAGTACAAATACTCTATGATTCCCTCATATGAAGCAGTTAGTCAAATTCATGAGACAGAAAGCAGACCAGTGATTGCCAGGGGCTGGAGGGTGGGAAATATGAGGAGTTATTGTTTAATCCATTCTGTGGATGGATGGCAGTGATGGTTGTACAACAACGTGAATGTACTTAATGCCACTGAATAGCACACTTAAAAATGGTTAAAACAGTAAATATCTACATATATAAAAAACGATATTCAGATTTTTTTTAAAGATGTTCTTTATTTATTTTTAGAGAAAGGGGAGGAAGGGAGAGAGAGAGGGAAACATCAACTGGTTGCCTCCTGCCCACCCCCAACTGGGGACCTGGCTCGCAACCCAGGCATGTGTCCTGACTGGGAATCGAACCAGCTACCTTTCAGTTTGCAGGCCAATGCTCAATCCACTCAGCCACACCAGCCAGGTAAGGTATTTTTAAAAAGACAAATACTGTATGATCCCTCTTATCAGAGGTATCTAGAGTAGTCAAATTCATAGAAAGAGAAAACAGAAGGATGGTTGTCAGGAGCTGGGATAGAGGGGAAATGGAGAGTTGTTTAATTGATATAAAGTTTAAGTTCTACAAGATTAAAAAGTTCTGGATATTGGCTGCACAGCAATGCAAATATATTCAACACTAATAGACTATATTTAAATATTAAAATGATAAATTCTATTTTAGTTTATTTTTAAATTTTTGTTTATTGATTTTAGAGAGGGAGGGAGGGAGGGAGGGAAGCAGGGAGAGAGAGAGATAGAGAGATTGAGAGCAACATCAATTTGTTGTCCCACTTATTTATGAATTCATTAGTTGATTCTTGCACGTGCCCTGACCAGGGACCGAACCCGCAACCTAGGCATATCAAGATGGCTCTCTAACCAACTGGGCTATGTAGACAGGGCTAAGATGATAAATTTTGTATTCTGTGTATTTTACAATTAAAAGTAAGACAAATTATATACACACACTCATACTCTCACACACATACATGTACATATGTTTAAAAGATATTTGTCTTCAGAGTTCATTTGGAGAAGAGAGGCAAGGAGAAAAGTGCACTCAGTTTACTGATAGTAGCATCAACTGTGTGCCTGAAACAGCATCAAATGATTCCTCCAAAAGAAAATTATTGATTACCCTGAATGAAATGACAAAAATTTTTAGAATTTATCATTTCTGGTATTAATTCTAAAAGACTAGGGGTAGTTTTTCTTCTCAAGTAAAATCTTGAGCTAATTCTGAATGTTTTTAATTCCTACAAGCTTACCTTATTCAAGAAAGCCACCAAGAAAAATAATTGGGCACTAGAAGAGCAGACAATATTATCAAGCCATTTTTGCCCTAAGCAAACCCAAATATCAAATGACTTAATTGATCGACTTTATAAAAAGCAGTTTAATTTGTGAAGCCTATTTTTTAATCAATTTGATCTGAATGCGGAGAGGGGCTGATGGGACAGGTCACAGAACTGGGACTCCAAAAAAAATTTCTAAGATTAAAAACCCCACTATGTTCTGTTGCTGGCTCTTAAAGGATCCCTATATTGAAGTGTCAGTTGTCTCATCTACAGTACCATACTACTTTAAAAGAGCACACTGGGACCCTGGCTGAGTAACTCAGTTGATTAGAGTGTTGTTCCGATAGGCCAAGGTTGTGGGTTCAATCCCCAGTCAAAGCACATAAAAGAATGAACCAATGAATGCATAAATAAGCAGAAAACAAATTGAAGTGTGTGTCTCTCTCCAAAATCAACCTTAAAAAAAAAAAAAAAAAAGAAAGCACACTGAGCATTAATTAGAATTTGAAATCCAACTAAGTATAAAAACACAGTTGCTGAGCGTGGCTTTTGTAAGTTATTTTCATTATGTGTTACTTTTCCTAATTAAGATAATTTTTACTTACTTGGTCAGCTTGTGGCTTTTCATTGCTGTGAGAAATTCCCTGACAATCTCAGGACTCTGGTGCCTGCATGGTGTTTTTGATATGTATTTTAATGTCTAAAAAAAATGGAAAAAGCAGGTTTGAATTAGAAAAAGGGAAAGTAATGGTTATAATTTAGTATTCTAAAATTTTGTTTCAAAAATCTTCTATAAAACAAATGTCTTCAGGAGACTCAAACTTCATATACTAGGAATTCCTCAAAAAGAAAATTAGCAGCCTGAACAGTACGGATAATTAATGAAATCCTAAAGAAACCTTTTCTGATCTTAAAAAAAAGAAGAAAAATTTTTTAAATACAGGAAACCCAAAGAATAAAATAAATAATCATGAATCCCTATGGATATAAATGACTGAATAAATAGATAAAAAGTAACAACTCTTTCTTACAGAAGAATTCTAACTATTAAACATAAAAGAAATGAGGGAAATAAACCACCATTAAGCAGTCCCACCATGGTAATAATGACCCACCAATGAACGTCAAAATTAATGGGCAAAAGCTTAAGGAGAAATGGGATATTTACATAGCCTAAAAGCATCTCCCCCCCACACCCCCGGTCTACGGCCATACCACCCTGAACGCACCCGATCTCGTCTAAAAGCATCTTCCCCCAAATCTTTATTAATTACTGTGATGCTTTTAACAGATGTCCTCAAATTCTTTGATATTCCCCCCTTCAAGAGGTAAAACCTAATCCTCTTCCCCTTGAATATGGAGCTGGACTTGGTGACTCCTTTCTAACAGAATATGGAAATGATAAAACAGCAACTTGACAGTGGAGAAACCCGGCAGACAGCACCTTAACCAAGTGATCAAAGTTAACAGGATCAGTAATAAGACATTGATACCATGTACCCTGTATTACCTGTATGGTATTCTTCCCCCAAAGCCATTAAGTTCAGTCTAATCATGAACCAGTATGACATAGCAGAATGAAGGGACATTCTACAAAACAGCTGACCAGTACTTTTCAGAAGTGCCAAGGCCATGGAACACAAGGAAAGATAAGGACCTGTTACAGATCAGAAGATACTGAGGAGTCACGTTAACTAAATACAAAATGGTGTTCTGTACTGGATCCTTGAACAGGGACAAAATAGGATATTAGTGGGAAAACTGGGAAATTTCAAATAAAATCTTTTGTTTAGTTTAATAATATGTAGCAATGTTAATTTCTTAGTTTTAATAATTGTATCATGGTTATGTAAGATAACCTATGGTTTTACATAGGGAAAACTACGGGAAGGGTACATGGGGACTCTCACCATTATCTCCGTAACTCTTCTGTAGGAATAAAATTATTTCAGCCCTGGCTGGTATGCCTTAGTGCATTGAGCACAGGCCTGAGAACCAAAGGGTCCCAGTTTGATTTCCAGTCAGGTCACATGCCTGGGTTGTGGGCCAGGTCCCCAGTAGGGGGTACACAAGAGGCAACTACTCATTGATGTTTCACTCTTTCTCCCTCTCTTTCTCTAAAAATAAATAAATAAAATCTTTTTTAAGTAAAAAATAAAAGAATAAAATTATTTCAAAATAAAAGGGTTTTACTTATTTTTTAAAGGGTACCCCACCTAGACATAATGTGAGAAGAATTTCAAACTTGAAAAATAAACAGTAACCTCAGCATCTAAGTAAAGAGTCTCTCAAAAGTGCAAACATTATTTTGGTCTCACACTTCTCCACAACAAAAACTAACAGATCAAGTAATACATATAGAGCCCTGCTGAACAAAAGTTGAACCCAAGAACTCCATATTCAGATGAGTTGTTATTCACATTGAGAACACTAGAAATACATTCTCAGGTATTAAAAGTCTCAAAACATTTAGTACCACAGTAAGTTTCCTTAAGGCACATGAATTAAAAGCAAGAACATAAGGAGTGGCAATGAGCTTAAACTGGTCAAGTGTGTAGTTATAAGTAGTTTTATAAACAAAAATTTAAAAATTAATTTTTGTTTATAAAACTAATTTTTGTTGATAAAACTAATTACCAAGAAATATTTTTCTTCTTTGAAAGAGATGAACTTTATAACGTAAAAGAACATGAACGAATGATAGGGTTTTAAATACGTGATTAAATGAACAAAACTGAATGAGGAGGAATGGTGACAAAAGTGCTAACACCCTTATTTTCCCTAAAAGGAACTGAGATAAACTCAAGTTTAATAATATCTTTGAAAAGATAAAGAAATTAAAGTCAAATCCTCTATAGAGACAAAATCAGAACAGAAAAGAAACAGCAAGAAAACAAATTAAAATGACAGATACAAAATCAGACATTACCTATAACAAATATAATAGCTTAAACTTTAAGGACAAAGCATAAAGCTGAAAGAGAATGCGGCCAAATGTCCACTAGAAACCAAGATTATAAATTATGTTTGTTGTCTTCTTGATGCTTTTTGGTACATTCTAAGTTTTCTAGAACAGTAAGTAATACTTTTGTGTAATAAAGAATTTGGCATTGCCCAAAGAATAGGTCTGGCCTTTGACCTTGGCTTCTAGAAGGTAATATCCAGTCTCTTAAAATGTTATAACTATTATAACAGGAGTATCTTTGTCTTGGGCCTTAGGTTACTGGATAGTTTCAACAATGTGATTTAGGATATGGCTTTGGGTCATACAGTATCACTCAGCCTGGAGGCTGAGATGAACTACGTGGGCAATTAATCATTCAGTCATGACACTGAAGCTCAGCTGAGCTTCCGTGGTTGACAATGTTCTGTGCATATTTTCACACACAACCACATGAAGAGGATAATGGAAATTCTGTATTTGATATTTCTCCCTGAATCTGCCCTATTTGCTTCTTCCCTTAGCCAATTTTACTCTATACCCTTTCCCTGTAATAAACAGTGTGAATATGTTAGCTTGCAGTGAGTTCTGTACTTCTAGAAAATTACTGAATTTTAGGGTAGTCTTGGGATCTCTGATTTGAAATTGATGTTAGAGGTGAGGACAGCCTTAGAGACTATTTCCTCTAATTTTATAGTTGGCTAACCCTCTCAATTGGCCAAACTCTTTCCACTTCCATAAACAGAATAAAAACAAGGTTATAGTACAACTATTCAAATTAGAGAATAGCAGTCTTGACTTGGTGGCTAGTCATCAGCAGACTAAAACAACCCCCCTCAATGGCAGTTCATGTAGTTCAAGTGGCCTAGGCTTACTTCATAGGTGATAGTATTCAAGTTCTGTTGCCCAGAACTGTGTTTATTCTTTCCACTTTCTTTACGTTGCTCTTTCAGATCAGTTAGTAACTGGAACACCTAGGAAGAGATATATGAAACATTTTTATAGAAAAGTCTGATAAATGTACCTATTCCAAGGTCAATAATTTTGAAGCTAAATAAAATGGTACCTCTCTTCTTCCCATAAACCCTCCCCACCAACTCTTATATCAAAGCAAATACGAATTCAAGTATGCGACCATTTTAAAATGCTCTTTTATCTAAGTCAAATAATTCAAATTCATTAGTTTACTTAAAGTAGCTCAAATGTTTCTTACCAACATACACCATTCTCTGATCACCTCAGACCTCAAAAATACTTTATTTAAAAGTAAATTTTCCTAAAATAAATTATCTTTTAAAAAAATACATTCTACTTCTAATATGAAAATCTAGCATAATTTATTTTGGGAAAGAGAAATTATGAGGCAAGTGCTAAAACATAGTTTACAAAAAAATATATAAATAAAAAGAAGGAAAAAGTGCTCTAGAACTATATAAGTAAACTTTCCCCACAAGGAAGAAACATATGTATAATTAGTATTAAGGAGGGTATGGGGAATATCTCTCTTTCCTGGTACAGAGATAATACCAGAAAATTGAGGGAAGTATAGATTCATAGGTCATTACTAGATACAATGCAATTCCTTGCCTGCCTGTCATTTTTCATAGTGTCATGAGATCCAATTAACACAATCAATGTTTTTTCAATGGATAATACACCCAAACCCTAAGTAGAGACTAAATTGGAGGTTTCTAAAAGCCAGTGGCTTGACCAGCAACCATTTAAGATGAATCTTTAGGAAGAGAGGAATATGGCCAGCTGTGTTAATTCTACCTTCCATATATATCACACAGTGGAGACCTAAATCTCCTATAGGCCTTTATGAGTTTAGACTCTGGCACACAAAAAATTGACAATGAATATATGTATGCATTGTTCTTTCTACACCTGGAATTAACCTACCAGATGGTTTTGCTAGTACCAAACAAGATCCAGGCAAAATGGAAGGTAGGCAACAATAATGTTCTGTCTTCCCTCTCACCAACCTCTTTCTTTCCTCCCTTTCCCCAGAAACCCAACCCTCAAGCCCCAAGAACCCCAATCTGTTAGTTCTTACATAATTATTCATATTGGTGAGTCAACTAACCTCTCATTTTCAAAATGAAGATTATAATCCTTATGAGACTATGATGAGGATCAAAATGATGTATAAAAGTATTTTATAGGTAAAGAGTGGTAATTTAAGAAAAGGCATATATATTTTAATAGAAATTTCTGCTGTCAGAAACACTTCCAAAATAGATGCTTTCATCCCATGAAGTCATCCCAAATGAAGATCTAAAATTTTCAGATTAGAGGAAGGTTCCCACTGTAAAGTGTTCCCACCTTTCCTGAATTACTATAATTTACCAATCTTAGACTATTCCAAGGCCCACCAGATGACGCCATCTGTCCTATTTTAAAGTGGAAAATCCAAATTTATTCAGTCATTTATAACCACAAATAATTCAATAATCTTCAGAAGCGAAGAACAAATTATCAGAGAGGAAAATACTTCAAAGCTACCTACCTCGAAGTTACTGAGCAGCGCAGAATTGGCATCCTTCCTGCAAAAGAAAAGTAAATCATCATAGTCTGGGCTCATATCCTTGTGTGTTAATTAAATATCTGTGAAATAATTCCTCTGTCAAAATTCAGTAGTCCAGTTCAGAATGTTTGGGACTACAATCTTTAGGAGAAATATCTTAAGTCCTAGCTGGTAATGGACAATTTCAGAGCATACCTTCCTTTTTGCAGTCACAGTGTATCACACATCCATCACCAGGGAGGTGATTAATATACTCTACTTATCTCTAAACTATGTAGGCAGATGTTAAGAGAAGTAAGACATCAGAGGGAAGTTAGTTACAGGAAGAATACCAGGGGTTGGGAGGGTCAATAAACAGTGAGAGGGTGCTAGAATTAAATGAAGAAACAGTGCTGTCGCATTCCACAGCTATGACCTCTTCCCAGGACCATCTGCCTTCCACCAACTATTAACATCTTGGGCAGCCAAGTCCTCCTGCTGAATCACCAGAAATGGGATCCTTAATACTAGCACCACTGGTTATTCCAGCAATGTCAGAAATCCTGCAGATATCCACAAAACTACAACAAAGAAGTTCATCTTCTATTCCAGTTCAGCAGGTACAGTTTCTGGATTAAGCAGTAGTCAAAAGCCTGGCACCCTTGTGTAAGTTAATCAAAGTGAAATGTCATCTTTCTTTTATGAATAAGCACAGCAATGTGACTTACATTATAACAGATCCATTCTACAATATCATATCATAAAGTATCTATTGTTTGTAATAGTCTAAAGAAAGTCTAGTATGATAATTAAGCACACAGTTTTGAAATAAGACAAATCTGGGTTCATATTATGGCTCAGCTACTTATATGGTATACAAGTTATAGGAGTTTTAGCGAGCTAATAACCCCACTAAGCTTCCCCACCTAAAAAAAAAAAAAAAAAAAAAAAAAAAAAAAAGGCCCAGGCCAGGTAGCTCAGTGGGTTAGAGCATTGTCCCCTATACATGAAGGTTACGGATTCAATCCCCAGTCAGGGCACATAAAAGAATCACACTTATTTATGCACAATCAATGAATGCATAAATAAGTGGAAAAACAAATCGTTATTTCTCTCTCCCCCTCTAAAATCAATAAATAAAACATTTAAAAAATAAATATATAAAACAAAAAATGGGGATAAACTGTATGTTCTTAAACCAGAAGTGAGGATATAATGAAAATGACACAAAATTTCAAAAACATGGGTCAAAAACAGATGGGTAATTTCCCCAGTCAATAAATAAAGCTAAACGAGTACATGGTTAACACAAGGACACGACATCAGCACAGTGATGTCATGTGAGCTTACCAAACGCTCCTTGTCATCCACAAATAGCTGGGATTTCACAAAAGTGCTGCTTTGCCAAATGACCACCACTGCACTCAGGTCACAAAGAATATCATATTTAAAAGGAACCAACCACAGAAAGGACAATGCACAATTACTGTATGTGATATGGTTCATTTAAAACTGAAAATGACAAATCAAATCATATGTCATCTTTGCTTACTTAATCAGGAAGTCAGCCCACAAGGCTTCCTCCTGTCTTTGCTTGAAATTGAGTTACTACTCCCTGTGTGCCCCTAAATACACAGCAACAAAGACATCCCTGCTTGGAATAAAGTGGGCTAAGGAAAAACACAAACGTTATTTTTCTTCAAGGCTAACAGATCCATCCCAGATGCCACTGTTACAACTTTATTTCCAAATCATGGCCCCTCCTGTTAAGCAAAATACTCCATTCCCTGGGAAGTCTGTCCCTGGCTCTTTTAAGTTATTGCCTCATTGCCCAAGTCAATAATGTTAATGCAAGAATCCAAAGAACATCATTGGCCTTTTCTAGAACCAACATCCAAAGGAGGGAAACACTCGATTTCATGTTTATTTTCATGAACCTCTGTTTTGGTACCAGTAGCATAATGGATGTTTAAACAGCCCGCATATGTTAAATTTGCATATCCTGCAAATTCTGGCTGGCAGATGATTTACTTTTGATTTTTTTATTAGTAGATAATTTTTTTAACTCAGCTAATAGAGTAAATGGCAATATATATTAGGCCTTCCTTTATTCAATAAAATGTCAGTAAGTATATAATGTCTGCCTTTTATGAAGTCCTAAATGAACAGTGTACTGGGAAAATTTTTTTAAAGCTTTTATTTATTTATTTTTAGACAGAGGGGAAGGGAGGGAGAAAGAGAAGAAAAACATTGATGTGCAAGAGATACATTGATTGGTTGCTTCTCACACACCCCCAACTGGGGACCTGGCCCACAACCCAGACATGTGCCCTGACTGAGAATTGAACCAGTGACCTTTCAGTTTACAGTCCGGCACTCAATCCACTGAGCCACACCAGCCAGGGCAAAAAAAATTTAAGGCAGTTTTTATCCTGAAGAAGTTACTGTAATGACCACTAAGTGGCAGGTTGTTGAGAAGAGGATACAGTGAGATTTGACAAACATCAGCTTAATCATGTAATCCTATGTAACAGCATCAATAATGATGATGTGGTGCACTGAGAAAAACACATCCATTAGAGCAATCCTGTCAAAAAATATTTAATTTGAATCTAGCTATGAGGATATAATTAGACAAATCCAAATTGAGGAATATACTTCAAAACAACTGGCCTAGATTCTTCAAATATTAATGTCATTTGTCACAATGCCAATGTTACAAAAAATAAAAATAGGGGTAGGCAGAGACAAATGTATTTGAAAAATAAATTTTTTAAAAAATAAAAATAAAAAAGAAAAAGGCTAGAAAACTATTTTTAGAGTAAGGGAGATGAAAGACACATGACAACTAAATGCAATGTGTGATTCTTGTCCTGAATTGGTAACACACACAGTTATGAGAAACATTATTGGAACAATTGGAGAAATGTGAATATAGGTTGTATTTTAATAACAGTGATTCAGTGCTAAATTTCCTAGGTATGATAATGCCATTAGAGTTACAAAGGAGAATACCTTTATAAAATTGGGTAAAATGACATCTACAACTCTCAAATGGTTAAGTGTGTGCATGGGGGCAGGAGAAAAACGTGAGAGAGAGAGAAAGAGAGAGAGAGAGAGAGACAGTGTGTGTGTGTGTGTGTGTGTGTGTGTGTGTGTGTGTGTGTGTGTGTGTGTAGAGAAAGCTGCACGTATAAGAGGGATAAGGTAAATAGCTCATATATCAAAATGTTAACAAATGCTGACTCTACCTAAAGGGTATAAAGGTAATTGTGGTACTCTTTTTTCAACTGTTCCATGGGTTTGAAATTTTCCAAGTTAACATGTTGAGAAAAGTAGAAATGTAAAACTAAAGAATTGCATAAGGTTAAAAAAAAAGACATTACTAGAACTTATAATTGAGGACATAAAATGCATTTTCCCTCATTGTTTCTTAGGGTAACTAGAATCTGTCAATTGACTCACCTGTCAATTGTATTTATAAGCTGTTGATCCCTACTGAGCAGGAATCGTCTGCTCTACAGCTAACACTTCAGTGTTGTGTAATACACAGTCACAAGCATTAAGACTTCTAGAAACTGCCCATCTACAACAAAACTTCATATTCTCTTATGGGGCTTAGAATATTAGTGATTTTATTTACAGGTGTTTAAAGCAAATATTCCAAGTGAATTTTAAAGACTGTCTAAATCTATACTTACAGGGAGGCAGTCACTTAATTTCCTTAAGTAATGACTTCATTGACTAAAGTTGACTTGCTGTTTGAAATTTAACCTGTAAAATTTGCTTAACTTGCTAAGTCAATTTAATGGATGTAAACAACTACTTTGGAAAACCGAATTCTGAAAAAACAGAACAAAATGATCTATTGGCAGATGTTCCTTAGAAACACACAGAAAAAACCCATGCAAACAGTGTCTATTAATTGCCACACAGTTAACTTACGAAAGCAGTGACGAATGGAACTGCTCGAATTCTCTTATGTTCAACTTATATTATTGATTCAAGTCATGTTCTAGAAAACTAAAGTCTGGTACAGGAAAACGAGGTGGCCATCCAAGTTAATGAACCATTTAACCTGTACCATTCTCTTGGGAGATAACAAACAAGTATTCTATTTCCAGTCCTGTTACTGAATTGTAATAAGCCCTATTAACTAACTTTGTTAAACTTCAGTATTTCCAGCTATAAAATGAACAAAATTCTGACACTATCTCAATAAAGGCAGCACAGAGGTAAATACAGTCCATTTTCCTAACTATGTATAGTTAAGTTCAAGAATAAAAGAGTGAACACAAAGCTTTCTAGATATAAAAATAATCCCAAGGCAAATATCTTATATACTGTAAATAAATACTTAATTTTGCTATGAAGTTTTTGTGTCCTTTACCTGAGAGAAGTAAGTTCCCAAATGATACTCAGAAAGATTTTATTTTTAAATTACATCATTCAAAAACAGTGATGGAAAGATACTTGACTTGGGGTGGTAAGCACATAATACAATACACAGATGATGTATTATAGAATTGTATGTCTGAAACCTATGTTTATTAATCAATGCCACCTCAATAAATTCAATAAAAAAGAAAAAGAGCAGTTAGCAAGTTAATGGATATTTTATAGTTACTGATGTCTCATTTAATTCCTTTGTGGTCAGGTAACATAGTACATATTATTTCAAGTTTTTGAAATTTATTGGGGCCCTGGCCAGTGCAGCTCCATTTGAGTGTCCTCTCATAAACCAAAAGACTTTGGGTTCATGTCCTGCTCAGGGCAAGTGCCCAGGTTTCAGGTTGGTCCCCAGTTGGGGCATGTACGAGACGCAACCAATCGATGTTTCTCTCTCACATTGATGTTTCTCTCCCTCCCTCCCTCCCCCTCTCTTTAAAATCAATGGGTGTGTTCTCTGGTGAGGATAAAAAAGAGAAAGGGAGAAAGGGAGGGAAGGAATGAATTTATTGGGAATTATTGATGATCCAGAAAATTATAGATCATTATGAATGTTCCATTTGCACTAAAAAGAATGTGTATTATGTAGTAATTAGATATAGTATCCCACAAACCTCAACCAGGTCAAATGATTTACATTGTAATACAAATCTATGTTATTGCTTATTTTTGTCTATCAGTTAGAAGAGAGGGGTATTAAACTCTTGAACAATGGAAACAATTTTTGTCATTTAAATAAACATACATAAATATTCCTCAACTTTAAAAAATTTCTAACTGACAAACAACAGATACAGAGGCATGGATACATGGAACAGACTGTCAGAGGTCAAGAGGGGACAGAGGAGGGGCAACTAGATCAAAGAAGGTGAAGGGATTAGCCAATGGACATATATGCATGTGTCTATATATCCATAGACACAGACAACAGTGTGGTGATGGCCAGAGGGAAGGGGGACAGGGACTGGGTGGAGGTGGGCAAAGGGGGAGGTGGGGAATGGGGGTATCTGTAATAATGTCAACAATAAAAATAAAGTCAATTTAAAAAAAGGAAAAATGCATATCAGATACATGGTTTGCAAATATTTTCTCCCCTTCCATAGGTTGCCTTTTAAGATTATTGGCTTTTTTGTTTTGAAGTTGTAGGAATTTCTTATATTTTTTGGATATTAAATGTGGAGTGTGTGGGGGAGGAGGTATAAAGGGGCTAAATGGCAATGGAAAAAAATACAATAAAAAATGTGGAGTTGTTCAATGGGTATAAAGTGTCAGTTATGTTATATGAATAAGTTCTAGAGATATGCTGTACAACACAGTGCCTGTAATAGTTAACGATACAACATGTTCCCTTTAGAAGTTGTTAAGTGGGTAGATCTCATGTTAAATTCTCTTGCCGTAAAAAGTCGGGGGGGGGGGGCGGCGCAGGCACAAGGAAATTCTGGGATGTATTGCATATGTCAATTACCTTGACTGTAGTGATCATATCATAGTGTTTGCATATGTCTAAACTCATCAAATTGTATACATTAAATATGTGCAGTTCTTTGTATATCAATTAAGTATCAATAAAGTTGTTTGGGCTTTTTGTTGTGTTTTTTTTTTAGAGAGAGAGAAGGAGGGAGGGAGAAAGAGAGGGAAAAAAACATCAATGTGAAAGAGATACGTCAAAGGGTTCAATGGTTTGCCTTTTACATGCCCCCAACTGGAGACCTGGCTCATAACCCAGGCATGTGCCCTGAGTGGGAATTGTACTGGTGACCTTTTGGTTTGCAGACTGGCACTCAATCCAGTGAGCCACACCAGCCAGGGCAATAACGTTGTCTTTTAAAAAAGAAAAAAATTTCTAGTGTATGTCTATTATTCACTCAGTAGGTATTTACTCAGTGACTGAAGGGGAAATAGTAGTAATGACGCAGGGGTGTTTTCCATTGGTGTCTTCTTGCTCCAGGTGCTAGTGGGACCTGACAGCATTATAGTATGTTTGCCCTCTCAGAGACCCAGGGTTCTACTGAAGATCCTAAGGCCCACACTGTCAGAAGTCGCATCTCATGCTGGAGGCCAGGCAGGAACTACAGCCTTAGGTCTTCCAGGCTTTCCACGTCAGGGGCACTTCTACTCCCAAATCACAAGCCTGCCTCAGAAAAAGTCATTTTGTCCTAAATTGCTAGCTTCGAAATTCTTAATTAGCTTCAAAAAGTCAAGAAGTAAAAGAGAATGCCACAGGGAAAAAAACCCTTGACTCAAACCATTTCACTTAGGAAAATCACAAAAATTGCTATGTGTAGCAATTAGGAAGCTAGCTAATTTATACTTATTACATTAATGGAGTAGTATTATATTACTTCATTCAACATGTATTTGCCGAATTCCTAGTGTGTCAGATGCCATGCTATGCACTAACTGGACAATGGCCCTTGCCTTCACAGAACTTACACTCTCACGAAGAAGGCACAAAACAAGTAAAGAAACATACGTCTATTATTATAACTGGTAACTATTTAAGGGGAAAATAACCAAGGTGCTATGAAAGACAAAAAAGATTATTTTGGACTGAAGGAAGAGGAAAAGCAACATTGAAAAGGGACATGCCACTTCAGCTATCAAAAGGATAAGAGAGCAGGACAAGAGGAAAAGTACACGAAGCAAAGGAATCAGCAATGCAGAAGTCCTGAGGTAGGAAAGGGCTCAGAAGGTTACAGAAGCTACCTAACTGCTAATGGGGTGTGTTTGACAGGTGAGGACAGAGGTATGAGATATGGCTGGTGAGTGTGTGAGGTTATACAGGATCTTACAGGTCCTTGTAAGGAATATGGATTTCCTCTAAGCACAACAGAAAAGCCAATAAACAGTTTTTCTGGGTGCAGCAGGAGGGGCTGCAGGAGGACTTCTCCAAGGCAATGGTAAACAATGTAGAACTGGATTGGCTGAGAAGCTGAAAGCTTCCAAAACACATGGAAATATCAAGAGGGCACTCAGGCTCCCTCCTTTCTTCCTCCAGGATGCCTCGATGGTTGTGCTGCCGCTAACTTGCTGTTTCCCAGTGGATCGTATTTTGGATGGGAAGGAAGTCCATGCACAGCCTAGGATCAGGCTGGCCTGGCAAAGGGTGGCAGGGTTATTCTTCTTTGAGTGTTCCACAGGGGACAAGCTCAGAGGCAGAAGCCTGCCATTCTTCCAAAAGTGTGTAGCTTTTGTATCCTACGTTCTTTTACTTTGTAAACTAACACCACAGAAATAAGATAATTAAAAACTAACAGGGAGAATGATAGGAGAACTCAAGTGTTAAAGAGTTTAGCCTTAACTGATAGGCTTAAGTGACTAACACTTGTGGAAAGCTGTTATTCCAAAATTGTGAAGCTTTTGAATAAGGCTCCCTTCCTTTATCACCAAAACTTTGCCTCTGGAATTTTGTCTAGAGGGATGTGCCAGACCCCAATTGCTGTTCAGTAACAACAGTTCTGGACCAATCCCAGGGCTAAGAATGCAGGACTGATTATTCTCAAGGATATGACTTTTATTATAAAAACTCAACTTCCCTTCTTGGGAACACTTCTAGCTTTTTGCCTGTTTCCAATTAGCAACCTCTAGGACCCTTGAATAAATCTTTGTCATTCATTTCCAGCCAAAGCCTCCTGACTTTTTTTTTAATCCTCACCCAAAGATACATTTATTGATTTTAGAGAGAGAGGATGGGAGGAAGAGAGAAAGGGAGGAAGGGGGAGGGCGGGAAGAGAGGCACACATAAACATGAGAGAAACATCTATCAGTTGCCCCCTGTAAGTGCCCCAAGATGAACCCACAACCTTTTGGTATATGGGACGATGCTACAACCAACCAGTCCCATATACCAAATATGAGCCACCCAGTCAGGGCACCTCCTGACTCTTTTAGAGTAGGTTTGACAATATCAGAGTGTACTGCATACAGTAGGTATTACTTCATGAAGTTTTCACTTCAGGCACATATACATACTGTGTTTTTTTTTTTTAAGTCTGAAAAGTAGTAGTACATATAACCATTAAACATGAGACAAAAGAACATAAAAATGTATTGAATAATCAGTGCCAAAGACAAACACAATGTAGGCATGCCAACTAATTAACGTCAACCACGTAAAAAGCCACATGCAGAGTAGCTGCAAAAACTCCATTTCCGTATCGCACAATGAACGACCATGGAAAAGACCGTGTGGAGTTAAAATGTTAGAACCACACACACACAGTCTCTGTTGTGTCTGTGGTCACAATCCAGGCTCAAGCACTTTTCTTCCCAGACAACCCGCCCCTTCCCTTAAAGGGCCGAACTGCTCCTCCTCAGACGGAGAACACTTCTTCGGAGTTAGGGCTCTCCAGGAGCCCACTGCCCCGGGCAAAGTTTATTCTCCTCTCCTCCGGGTACCTCCAGGGTGACCTCAAGGCTTTATGCCTCCCCCCCCCCGCCCCCGCCCCACACTGGTCAAGGTTTATTTGGAGTTTTTAGCTGGTATGACACTTGGATAGCCAGTTGCATTATTTATATGTAGACTTTTCTTTTTACATTATATGGCGATGTATACTAATCTGATACACACAATACACAAAATAAGACCCTTTAGAACAGTTATGCGCAAGACATGCAATATTGGCTTTATACATTGGATCCAAGGATGTAATTGGTTGGAGAAATAAAGTTGGACCAGGCATGTTGGGTAAAGGAACCCTACGGTATATAACACACGGTGAACACACATTTAGTTTGAAGGGCAATTTACACCTAAGTCCCGGCACGTACACTGGGCCGGGCCCACCACTGTGACGTCAGAAACGCTAGCAAATGAATGAGGGAGAAAGCGGGCATATTGAAAGGCCCCAGTCCTAAGTAAGAGCTCAGAGGGCGTGCGAGGTCTCAGGGGGGCAGAGCGAGTCTCCTTCCCCACCTCTCAGCCCGTCGCCCTTCCCGACTGGTCAGGCCAGGGGTCGTCCAGTGCCCACGCCTCTCAGGTCCCAAAATCTGGGCGTCCCCCGCTGTGAGCCGGGGACGAATGCCGGGAACGCGCCGCAGTTGGCTTACACTTCCATGTAGACCCCGCCTCGTGGCCTCTGGCCCTCGGCACGCAAAGAGCCTCACGCTGCGCCGCCGCGCCTCCCGGCCGCTCCGCCACTCCCGCAGTCCGCGCCTGCAATCCGCGCCAAACGCTGGGTCGTCAACCCCGCGCGCCGCGATGCACGCCGGGATCGACGCGCTGAACTCTGGGAGTCTGGTGGACCGTACGGAGTCACTGTGCCGCTGGCCACTCTCCTGGTCTACCCTCGGTGCTTTTCGCCCGGCCGGACGTCAGCCTGTCAAACGTTTGCAGAGAGGACTTAGCTCATGTTTTCGTGGTCTAGGTTATACCAAAATATTAATAAACTAAGATTCCAAAGATGCCATCGGGTTAGTAGTCCTTGATGATGTTAAAATCCCACCTCCCTGAGAGTAGCGATGCCGAGGAGGCGAGGGGGCTCTGGACTGATGGAAATGTTCTATTCCATGATCTGGGTGCTGGGTACGCGGTGTGTTCAGTTGCTGAAAATTCAGTGAGCTGTAAATGCCCACTTTTCTGTATGCATGTTTTAATTGAATAAAACGTTTTAAGAGGTTAAGAAAATCCCAGCCTAACTCCTCCCTGTTCCCATTTCTCCTTGAGAGTTTTGGCAAAAATACTTTTTTTTTTTTAAATAAGTATTACATGAGTCTTACATGAGTTAGACTCATGTAAGAGCCTTAACGTCACGCAACCTCTGACCTTCAGGCCGTACTAGGAATTTAAACGGAATTATCGGGCGCTTGAAGAAAGATGATGTGTAGTGGTGTTTTTTGCTGGGAGATAGATTAAATGTCCAACAATGGGGAATTAATAGAAAATGTTCAGTCATACAGTATAATATGTGGCCATGAAAACTCAGGTATCATTTGGTATATTGGGGGAAGTGCTCAAGATAGGATACTTTTAAAAATCCTAACCCGAGAATATATTGATTTTAGAGAGAGAGAAAAGGGTCGATGTGAGACATTGCTTGGTTACCTCCTACACATGTCCCAAGCAGGACTGAACTTGCAACCTGGGTATAGGCCCTGACCATGGATGGAACCTTCAACCTTTTTGGTGACAAGACAGTGCTCCAACCAACTGAGTCATTCTGCCAGGGCTCAAGATAGGATTTTTTAAAGATAGAAAGTGATGTGGTATGACACTAATAGTCCAAGAAAAAATAATATGTAGGGAAAAAATATTGAAGGATTTGGGAGGTAGAGCCACCTAATCTACTGCATTTTATGTCTTAAAAAACAAAACGGTGGGAGTTTGATGTCTATTATCTTCTGGATTTTTTTCATATGTTTGAAATATTTTCAAAGACTGGAAAGAAATGTGCCAAAACATTAAGTGGTGGGTTTCTTTAAATAATGAGCCAATTACTATTTTTTTCTGTTTTTTAACAGTTGTATCAGTTATCATTTACTAAACTCATTCTTTTTGCAAGGTGCTTGCTAAGCACTTCATTATTCCATGATGTTGTGAAGGCTATGCAGTTGGTCAGCCTGTGATTCTGTTTACCTTCATTTTCTTAGAGGCTGTTGACCTTGGGATATTACTTAACCTCTCCTAACCTCCATTCCCTAATTTGAAAATCATAGATCTGTTATGTAATCCTTGTAATTTGCCTGGCATATAGTTAAGTGCTTAACAAATATTAATTACTCTGACAATACAACCACAATACTATATAAGGTAAATTCCATTGTTACTCAAAATTTACTACTGAGGAAATAGAGGCAGGCTTAGAAAGATTAGATTTACCTAAAATCAGTCATCTAGGAAGTTGTTCAGCAGTGATTCAAACCCAGAAAATATAAAAAAAACCAAGTTGTATTACACTGTTAATGGTGACTGATGATCGAATTTAAATAGTCCTATATTAAATCAATGGAATACTATTTAGCAGTAAAAAGGAATGGAGTACTGATGCATGCTACAACATGGATGACCCTCAAAGACGTGCTAAGTGAAAGAAGCCAGACACAAAAGACCTCATATTGTATGATTCATTCATATGAAATGTCCAAGGATAGGCAAATTTATAGAGACAAAAAGTTAATCAGTGGGTACTTAGGATTGGGAGAGGGATGACAATGGGAAGTGACAGTTAAGTTATTGAGTTTCCTTTGGAGGAAACAAAAAGTCCCTAAAATTAGGTTGTGGTAATGGTTGCACATCCCTATGAATATACTAAAAAGCATTGATCTATGTACTTTATTCTTTTTTTAAGATTTTATTTTTAGAGAGAGAGGAAGGAAGGGAGAAAGAGAGGTAGAGAAACATGGATGTATGAGAGAAGCCTAGATCGGTTGCCTTTCGCACCCCCAACTTGGGACCTGGCTCACAATCCAGGCATATGCCCTAGCTGGGAATCGAACCACTGACCCTTCAGTTCACAGGCTGGCCACACTAGCCAGAGCTGAACTGTGTACTTTAAATGGGCAAACTGTATGGTATCTGAATTATACATCAATAAAGCTGTCTAAAAATTTTTACTGGTGTTTGCCTGTGGGTATTGGATTGGAAAAGAAGGGGAATTTTTAACATTCAACTTTACACATTCAGAATTTTTAAAATGTTTTTCAATGCATGTCATTTTTTAATTATAAAAATATTCTAAAAACAACTAATTTACTTTAAAATTTTTTAAAATACAATATCATCCCAGGCCCTCCTGGCCTAATTCATGTGGCGAGTCCCTTGTACCTCCCGAGGAGAGTGACCCCCCAAAGAAGTGCTAAAAATACTTGTGTGTTATTCACTCAGCAAACATTGCAATGAGCCCCTTCAATAGTGGTGATACAACTATGAATAATACACATTCCCTGCCTGGCTCCCTGACAGCCTAGTTGGGAAACCAGCTCTGGATATCAATAACTACAATATGTTGTGTTTAGACACGATGGAGCAGAAAAGAAAATGATTAATGAGGCAGAGAGGAGTCACAAAGCCAGGCGTCTTTGAGCTGAGTGCGGGAAGAGCACACAAGGCCAAAGCTTCCGGAATGCTCAGGCTGTTGCCTCCAAGGGCCCCACAATAAAATGGCTGAGTTCCAGGTTCTCCAAGGGAGACCACCCTAAGATCTTGGGGGCCACATGCAGTCACCCAACTTATCCCCTAGGGGCAGCTGAGTAGACAGGAGTGAGACCCACTCCTAGGGAAAGGCTGTCCAGGAGAAGCTTGCAGGACAGGAAAACTCAGCCAACAAAGCTGGGCTAGTTGAGGGCTGAAACTCCGGCCTGGCCTGACCCCATTCAACTTTAAAAAGCTGAACTCCCTGTAGCTTTTTAAACTTGAGGCTGCCTAATGAGACTATTCTTTGCCACCCAAAGCACACAAACCAAGTAAATCACTTTCTTTTTTCCTAACAGCTGGCTTTTTATGCTGATTTACCAAATATATACAAAGGCCCAGAGCACACCTTGTATGTCTTCCAAGTGGAAAGTCCTGTCAAATGCTGACACAATTATATCTAGAGCTCAGAAGAAAATAAGTAGATAGAGCTCTTAAAGTAGAAATGAAGCCCTTAAAGTTAAGTCACCCAGGGAAGTGTAGAAGAGTAAGACTTCCTTGGTTCTTACCAAGTGCCAGAGAGTTGATATAAGCTCTTCACGTGTGTATACTTATTTAATCCTCACAAAGTTCCTGTGAGGCACTGCACCAGATACTGCATTAGCATAGTCTCATTTACTTCTCTCAGGACTTCTTGAAGTTAACTATTAAAATCAGCTCATTTCACAGAGAGGAATTAGGAAGTGGCAGAAAGGAAATTAGAGAATAAATAGTGCAGGTCAGAGAGGAATTAGGAGGTGGCTGAGCCAAGGTTCTCACTCTGCCCTCAAAAGCCAGCTGTTAGGAAAAAACTTTACCTCTCTCAGTTTTAGAGCCTGCCAACATTAGGGGTACCTCCCTATTCTGCACTAGACCCTTCCTCAGTTATTTTGATGCACCAATGTGGAAATTTCAGGGGAGAAAAGCCAGGCAAGGTTTTCACTCTTCTGAGACAGATAAATCCTGTACAGCACTCAGCCCTCAGCTGAAAATAGGCATTGTCCACTGTTGAACAGACCTCGACACCCAAGCTGGAAATGAGGATGGACACAGAAAGTCTGCCCATGATCAAGGCCCAGGAGGAAACACTAGCAAAGTAGAACAGGGTGGCGATCTCTTTTTTATCATCCCAGGAGCAGGAATTATAGCCCCTTGATGATATCTACTCATGGGTTGTTTATATTCTCGGGACCCACAAGAATGAGGCAGTCATGTGTGGTGATTACAGACGTGGGCTCTGCAGCCAGACGCCTGAGTTAATTGCAGGCTCTATCACTTACTAGCTGTGTGGCCTTAGGCAAGTTTCTTAACAATCTTTCTGTGTCTTGGTTAATTCATCTATAAAACAGTATTAGCAGTACCTCTCTTACATAATTGTGTTCAGAATAGCACTTGGGAAGCAAATGGGAAGCATGGGGAAAAAATGCTAACTATTATCCTCCTATATATCCAAAGCAAAGAAATAAGATTTTGAATAAAGAAAGTTCTAAGTATAAAGTGATATGTGTGTATCACCTAGTTCTCATTGCAGATATACTGTCCATCTTCTTGGGAAAATCATGCAGTCCTTCATTACCCACCTTACCTTGAAACAGTTGCCATGAGTTGAGATAGATATGCTTCCGGCAAATAAGAAAATGTGTTACCTGGCAGCACAGGGCTGGGAGGTGGGGGTGGAAACAAGAGGTCAGCCCTATTCAGGGGCATTTTCCTGAAGTCTCTCCATATGGTAGGAAGAATACTGGTTCCCCAAAGATGTCCACATCCTAATCCAAAGGAACTTTGCAGATGTGAGTATGGTTATGAACCTCGAGATAGGGAGATTACCCTGAATCATTTGGACAGGGCAGATCTAATCTAAGAGAATCTTTCCCAACTGATGTCAGAGTCAGGTGTGATTGTGGAAGAAGGGTCAGAGAGATGCAATGTTGCAGGCCCTAAAGATGGAGAAAGGGACCATGAGCCACGGGATGTAGGTAACCTCTAGGAACCAGAAAATGCAAGGAAATACATTCTCCACTGGAGCCTTCAGAAAGTATGGCAGCCTTGCCAACACCTTAATTTTAGCCCAGTAAGAGCCATGAAGGAC